CGGGGCAGCCAACGCCCCCCAGCACCCCAGCAGCATTGGCAAGGCTCTGGACTTACACAGCTAACCCTGAGCCCTTCTGTCGGAGGCAGCTGGGGGGTATGCAGTGTGCACACTGGGCACCTGGCCTGACAGCCTGGGAAAACTCTTGTCCTCGGTGCCTCCCACCTCCTCTGTCTACACCCTGCCTGCCGTCCTGGGCCCTGACCCCTGCGTCTTACTTTCTCCTGAGGAGACAGTGTTGACTTCAGTGCTTTGAAACAGTCTCCCAACTGTCTCCCTGACTGCTGCCTCCTCCCATCCCTCCCAACCCAGCCTCAGCAACAGAGCCTCGGAGATCTTTCTAAAGCGCCAGTTTAACATGTCATCCACCATCATCTGTCCTTTCCCAGATTTGACTGTCTCGCCTCTGGTCCCTTCTCATTCACGTCCACGCATTGATTATTCACCAAACACCCTCCCTGCCTCTGGGATTTTGCTCATGCTGTTCTTTTTGCTTTGTGTCCCTTTCTATAATATTGTCCCTTCAGAAAACTCCTAGTCCTCCATGGGGAGCTGGTTCAAATGCTTCCTCTTCTGTGAGGGCTTCCTGGATTTTCCCCAGGGAAAGAGAGGGTCCCAGCTCCAAGTGTATTTCCCATACACTTGACTGAAGGATGTATAGCTGAGGGTTTAAAGCCACAGCTTTCAGAGTCAGACGAAGGGCGTCCCCGCTATGAGCCTCCTTTTCTGCATGCAAGGTGGGGATAAGATTCCTACTCAGGCCAGGTGCAGATGAAATATGAAAGTGTATGTAAAATGCTTGGCACAGCTGGTAGTTAGGTAGCTGTCAGTAAATGTTCGCCAATGCTTTTATACTGTTTTATTAAGTAATAAAGTAAATCATCTAAGCGCCTCTCTGGAGAGGGACAATGTGTTATTCATATTTGAACCCCAGAACTGAGCACAAGGCTGGCCTAGTAGTAGGTACTCAATGACTGTTTAGTGGATTTAATCCTAAACCCACTGGATTGAGGTTTTCAATTCGTTTGTGTTGAATTAATCCAATTGGATAGAGTTGAAGCCTGAAGGGATGAAGTTCAGTAACTGAACTGAAACTAGTGTGTCAAGGGGCATTTCAGGGAGTGGGGAGGGATTTGGGGTCACGGAGCTTTACGGAAGCCCTCGGGGAACTGCAGAGGCGGCAGGCTGCAGTCCCCATGGGGGGATCCTGAAAGGGCGCAAAGGCCTCTGGGTCCTGGGCCCCGAGGTGGTTGAGGCCCCTTGGCCCCCAGTTGGACGGACCCTCCCGCAGGCAGGGCCAGGGCGCTCTGTGCACAGGGAGCGCCCCTTTGGGGCCCATGGGCCTCCGTGTGGAGGCTGCTGGCTAGCACCAGAAGTGGTGCTCGAGCCCCACTACCTGTGGGGGCCCCGGGGGCACAGATGCCAGCCCGCAGCCTGCTGGAGCTCTCGCCTTTCCTGGCAGGCTCTCAGCAGGCTCTCAGCAGGCTGCTGGTCCCTCCAGGCAATCAGCGGCTCCCGCATGGAATACTTTCCCCACGGAATCACCATTTCCATAGTGGCTGCTTTTCCTTCTTTCTCCCCTTCAATGTCCTCTCCCTTCCGCCCACCCTGCGGGCTCTGCCCCACCAGAGCCTGAGCTGCCCCTTTCCTCTCCTCCCTTCCTCCGCCTGCCCTACTGACAGTCAGCTCTGTGCCTCTGTGTTCTGGGCATGGGGACGAGGGATTTTGAGGTGAAAAGCTAGCTTTGGGTTTGGCCCAGGGCAGCCAGGCAACCCCCGGGTGCCAAGGGAATAGTCCGTGTCCCCCAGTGTGTCACCCCTCAACCTCTTTCTTGCCTTCACACTCACAGTCAGGGACTGAGAACAGGATGCGGCCTGGCCACCGCTGGGAGCAGGACCAGCTCCCGGGGCGGGTCACTTGAGCCGCTGCTCAGGCCCTTGGGCTCATGAGGCTTAGTGCTCCGCGGTTGCCGTCTTGAACCCTTCAATCACTTTTGAAGGAAAGCGTTCCCTTCGCATTTTGTGCCCGGCCCTGCAGACGATCGGGAGGGCCTGAGTGAAGAGCAAGACAGGGAGGCAGGCAGGCTGGGGAGGGAGGCGGGGGAGAGGGGCGCCAGCCAACTCGGTGACCCGATCGCTGGCCAGAGCTGGCCAGGGTGCCCCCTCTCAGCTTCCAGCATCTGAAGGGGCACTTGGCTCTCCTTTTCCACTTTGCAAAAACCTGTTGGGCTGATGAGGGAGGGAAAGGGGCACTCCAGATCCTAGGACTGGCTGGAGATGCTTTCTTAAGATTAGGGACCACGTCATGGGAGAGGCCCTGGAAGCACCACCTCCCTCTGCTTTGGGCGAGAAGCAGTGTTCCGCCTGGGTGCGCCCCACCCCATGGAGCCTTCTCCAGACCCACCTCTCCCCCTGGGTTCTGGTTTCAGCCTCTCTCTGCTCCTAAGGACCCTGTCCCGTAATTGCTGTGTCCTCTCACCTCATGGGACTCAGAACTGGAAGAGGACTCAAGTCACACCTGACCTGAGGGGGACAGAACTGCCTTCTTCGCCCTGCTGTCTTCCTGGTCCTCCCCTGGGATAGGCTGGCTTTCAGATTCAAGGCAGCTTGTGTTTAGGCTTCGCATGCATGATCCCTTTTTTAAAAAAATTATAGTTGATATACAGTATCATATTGGTGTAAATATACAGCATAATCCCTTTTAGATGAATTCCTGGTGACATCCATGGGTTAGCTGGTGGTCCACTAGGAACCCTGAATCTGTCCCTCCTGTATTTGACTAAGATCTTGTAGGATACAGGGTGGGTTAGAGGAGGAAATTCCAGAAAGGATCCATTAAATGCATCTAATGCTTTGTAAGGCACCCTGGTTTCCAAACAGAAATGTGTTCCTACAGCTCTGGGAGGTGTGTATGTCTGTCATTCCACCCTTTTAGGGGAGCCAGCCTAGTAGAAGGAAGTGGAAAGAAGCCCTGCCATACCCTCTGGGCTTCAGATTCCTTATATAAAATGAGTGAGGCTGACAGGCTTCTTCAAGCTCTGACACAATAGGATTCTAAGTTTACACTGTTGTTCTTGTGGGTCCCTGTCAGCGAGCACTTCCTGTTGTCTAACCTGCATCTTTTCTGCTGCTTCTTGCTCCCTGTTAGGTCCCCATCTCACTTTCGTCAAGTGGGACTAGGCCCCCGTCTCCCTGGCCACCTGGGATGTCTTACGGCCAGGCGACTCTCAGACCACCTGCCCTTTGGGACGTGGAGGGAAGGGGCCCCAACCCTCACTCCCGCTCATCCCGCCTCCCTGCCTGCCTCAGCCTCAGCCCTGGGCTGCGCGAGTGTGGGAAGCAGTTTGGCCTTAAAGAGCATAAGCTATTTCCCCAGGCCGAGCAAGCCCCAACTGGCCTGTGAGGTGCCTGCCGATCTGCCCTATCGCCACAGGTAGGGATTATACTCGGGGCTCGCTCGAGGAGTCCCGGCCCGTGTGGGAGAATGAGAAGGGCTGTGGGGGATTGCTGATTTCATTCCGGAGCTTAACTGGTGTAACTGCTCTCTTCTTGCTGCCAAACCAGCGTCCGCCTGCACTGGCTCTCCCAGCGGCAGCAGGAAGCTACTCAGAAGGGTCTGTGAGTCCCAGGGGTGACCCTGCGGATGGCTCAGAGCAGCTCCCCACCCAGATGGCGGTGGAGCCCAGGCCCAGCCCGCAGAGGACCTTGGATCCCAGGGCAGCCTGAGCCCTGACTCCGGGGGGATGGGGGAACTTCTTCAGAGGGCACGCATCCTGCCCGGGAATGGAAGGGACCTCTTCACAGCCAGTCCGTTGGCCTTGGGGCTCCCCGGGCTCAGAGGTTCCTGGGGGAGGTGGGGGATGCCCTATGAGAGAGGGGCAGGGGGAGAGCAGAGGCCAGTACTGCCCCATTTCCTCCTCTGCTGCCACCTCTCTTCCTCTCTGGCTCCTTGGGGAATCTGCTTCCAAGGGGATGTTTTGTCCTCACAGCTGAAACTACCAGGAGGACCTGCAGTTGTTCCCCCTCGGGGCCCCAGGGCCCCTCTGGACAGCCTTCTTGCTAGAAGGAAAGGTAACTTGGGTGGCCTGCCCTGAGCTGTGCATTGTCCACATTTGACCTCAAAACAGTCTCTGGGTTGGGTGGGCAGTCAAACCGCAGTGGAGAAAACCACGCCAAAAGGCTCATTGAGGGCATCACATGACTAGGTCTGTCTGGTGGCTAAGCCCACGCTCCTTCCGTGCTCACTGAGAGTACATACAGACGTTGCCATATGAAATGCAACTATTACATAGGACCTACTTATTCTAAAAAGCTATTCCTTGTTTATCTGAAATTCACATTTAACTGAACATTGTCCTAAATATTCCATGGGACATATTACATTAAAAATTATGTGGTATTTATCTGAAATTTGGATTTAAGTGGGAAACATGTATTTTTATTTGCTAAATCCAGCAATGCTACCCTGGGTCCACATGCCACCCATCAAACTGGGTCCTTTAGGAGACAAGGAGCAGGGGGTGCTTGGGGTGGGTGATAGGGAGGTGCCTGCATCTCTGGGGAGGCATTTTCTTTGGTGGGATCCAGAGGGAGGAGATATCCTTCTGTCAATGGTGGAAACATCTCTTACGTGGCCGTGGGGTGGACAGGCTTGGGAAAGCTAGTGTGATTCCCACAGCAGAGGGGCAGCTGTGGCGTAGATTTAGAAGCCTGGGGTATGAGGGAAAAACTGGTTATCCACAAAGGGTTGGGGGTTCTGCCTTGGGTCTAAAGGGAGGAGTTGATATTATAAATAGGAACATATGGCCTAAAGGATCAGGAATCAGGGGTTGGAATGGAGGTGAAATATGGGAACTTGGAGAGGCGGGACACAGGGCACGTGGTAGCTGAGTTGAAGTGTTAGTCCCAGGGTACCCCGAAGTCCCTGCTTGGGGCCTTGCCGGCCCAGCCCAGTCCCAAACTGTGCCCTGGATTGATGCTTTCCGTCCTCTCTTCCACCAGGCGCCTAGATGCCAACGTCATCTCCCTGGTCCCGGAGAGGAGCTTTGAGGGGCTGTCCTCCTTGCGCCACCTGTGGTTGGATGACAATGTACTCGCCGAGATCCCGGTCAGGGCCCTCAACAACCTCCCTGCCCTGCAGGCCATGACCCTGGCCCTCAACCGCATCCGCCGCGTCCCCGACTACGCCTTCCAGAACCTCAGCAGCCTCGTGGTGCTGTGAGTGCCACTCTGCCCCCGGCCCTGCTGAGTCCTGCTGGGCACTGGATGGTTATCCCGAGCTGGGCTGCATAGCTTGGCTCTTCTCTTTGTGTTCCCAAACTTCTGGCCTCAGTTTCCCCCTTTGTTAAATGAGGGTGATCATGCCTGGTTGGCCCCAGGGTGTTCTCAGGAGGGCTAAATGACATCAGAGCCATAGAAGTGCTCTGAGAGGCCAGAGGACCATAATGAGAAAACAGGAGTTTGGCTATAATTTTCTCAGTGTGCAAATGCAATAAGCATACTGTGGCAATTGGAATATACATCAAGAGTTTCTAACATGATTTCTAGTATATTTGGCAACCAGATGATGCAGTCTTATGCTTTGGTACAGGGATAGGATACATTCATCTCGTTTCCCAGGCCTGAAGAAGCCAAGAACAGCCATCACTTGTAATTAGACAGCAAAACCCCATCAGGATAATTACCTGGGAGATAGCTCTCCTGGCAGGAATTGGGGACTGGGGTTACTCTGCTTTCCCAGGGGGAGCTTTAGAGTGCAAATTAGCGCCCAGCTAATTGCTATGAATGATTGGTAAGTTCATAGGGTAATTACCAAGGGCTTGGAGGTCATATGTAATTGCTGTGGGTTACACACTAATTGCTGTGGAACATGTGTGTCCGTGACTCTGCTAACTGGCGGCATTGCTGGCCCTGCTCTTGGAAATCTGGTGTGATTTTCCAAACCCGGCAACATGTGATGCTTAGTTGCACTTGAGAGATGAAAAAGCAGGCACCAATTTGTTTGTCTAATTGTTTGTCTTGGGAGACGGGAGGGCCAAGGTGAATGACCTTACAGACCCCATTCTTCTACCAGGATGGCCACACCATCCTTCCTTCTGCAAAGCAGTGCAGCTGTTCATAGAGGGCAGACAGAGCGAGGTGGTTGGTTCTGGGTCGGGTGATACCCCTGCGACATCCTGAGCATTTGGGGACAGGTCTCTGAGAGACAAAGCTGGTGGAAAAATGGGGGCCTCATGATGGATCCCCAACAAACGAGCCACAGTAAGTTTTCATAGAAACCCTATGTGGCACTGAAGATACAAAGAACTAGGAGATAAAGCCACTGCCCCAAAGGGGCTGTCTGTTGAAATGGCAGAATAAATATGGGAAAAGACAGCTAATAGTGTAACTTAACTTCTGCCAAGATAGCCTGGTGACAGGTACAGATTCACAGTAGCACAGGGATTGTGGGGCGGCGACACTGCTGCAGGAGGGTGATAGGGAGGGCTTTGTGGGGAAGGTGGTGTGGGTCCCAGGCCTGGAAAGATGATGAAGATTCGGGGAAGCGAAGAGAATGAGAGCGTTCCAGGTGGCACCAGGCGGGAAGCCAGGGATGTTCAGCTGCCGGTCTGGCAGGAGCAGGGGGTCTCTTGCAGAGTGTGGGAGGAGAGCCTGGGAAGGTGAGCTTGGGGGCTCGCAGTGTCAGGGCAGGAGCTTGGCTTTTGTCTGCCAATGGCGGTGGGGAGCTTGAAGGTCCTTGAGCAATGATGGAAGCGGGTATTTTAGGAAGGCTAATTGGAAGGATGGCCAGGAACAGGGGAGGCTGGAGGCAGGGAGGTCAGTTAGGAGGCTTTTGCATAGCATCAAAGATCTAGTTTAGGGAGGTGGCAGAAGAGATGAGAGGGAAATCATGACTCTGAGGAAAGTTTTGAAGGAAGAATCGATCTTTCTTAGAGGTGTTCAGGGGGTGGAAGACCAAGAAGGGACTCAAAAGTGACTCCAAAGTCTGGCTGGAAATCATGGAATTGGGAAGTCAGGCCTGCTGCAGATGTGGGGGCCCACTGGGCATAAGGAGGGCAAGAGACTAAGGAATGAAAACCTATTGGCCCAGGAGCAAAGCTGAAGGAGAAGAGCTGGTTCCTTCACCTGATGCGGGGCCAGAAACTTCACCCCTTTGTCCTTTGCCTGCAGAAGAGAAGCTTCCAGGAGCAGGTGACCAGAGAAGGGGGACAGGAGGCTGGGGAAAGCTGTCCAGGGAATACTGATGAGCAATAGGAAGGCCCAGGAGGCAAGTAAGGAGGACTGGGTGTGACAGGAAGCAAGAAGGAAGTTTGGTTAAAGTGGTAGGTGGACAGGGGTCTAGTTGGCGGTGTGAGCAGACAAGCAGGCTGGCAGAGAAGGGGCTTCTCCTCAACCCTGTGATTTCCTCAGGCTGCTCTGCCGGGCACGCAACGCCTTCCTCTTATGGCAATGGCACTGATGGGACCCCAGGGCTGACTTACTGGGACGCGGTAGTGTCATTTCCATCCATCTCGTCTCTTCATCCAGACTATATACCTCAACACCTGCCCGGGGCTGGGCTGCTATTGGTGCCCAGGATCCCCAGGGTCAATGAGGGGTTTGTAGGATGGATTTGGAGGCTTGGAGCTGGATGTTTAAAAAGCTGAGATGGTGTAGACCAGCATGCTGGGGGGTGCAAAGGGAGGTAGAAAATGGAGATGAGAATTTAACATGAGGCGAGGATGAAATTACAGTTCAGTGACAGTGGGGATATAGGCGGGGAAGAAATGGGAAAAATTTAAACCCCTTGGTAAGAGGAGTCAGTTTATTCCCAGAACACAGGGGCTGTGTTTTCCCTATCGGAGCAGAAGCTGCATATGGGATGGGTCTGTCTCCTTACTGGGATCTGGTGAGCAGGTGAGCAGGGATGGGGAAGACACCTACAGAACGGAAGGCTCAGTCTCCCATCCCTGTCCGCCTGCCTTGGATGGGGTAGGCCTGTTGCCTGTATATTTGAACAACATATTGGAGGCCAGCCCAATTTCTTCCTCTTTTAAGTGATTTCCTTTTCCTGCCTAAAGACGTTGCTTAATCCTTGAGCTTTAATAGCTTGACTAGAATATGTCACAAGGTAGAACATTTTCCTGGAACAATGTATGCTTGTGAGCTGCAGATTCCCTCCTTCCTTCATTTCAGAGAATTTTCTTTTCTATGCTGTCTTTGAATACATCTTCTGTCTCATTCTTGGATTCTCTGCTGCAGAGACATCCATTAACCTTGTGTGGAGTCAGCTGTATGTCTTCTACATTTATTAGTTTCTGTTTTAACCTTTTTGTCTCATTCAGCCGTATTCGCCACGATTCTCTCAAGTGTTATCTCTGACACCAATTCAGTTTTCAGCAGCATTTATTCTATTCCTTCTTTCGAATTTGTTGACAAGTTTTTTCTTGAGAAGGAGCTTTGGTCCTCAATTTGTTTCCTTAGGAGGTCATTTTTTCTTTCATTAAAAATTTTTTTGCTTTGAAACAGCGTTTCATTGGATTGTTTAGTAGCAAAAGGCAATTGTGATCAATTTCCTCCTGTTCCTCATCCATTAGTTAACACGTTCTTCTAAGCTTGGAAACTTGTCTTTTGCATCCTCTTGTCTCCTCCCTGCTTCTCTTTGGGTGTTTGCATAAATGCCATGTGGTTTCTGTTTTGGGCTCATGCTTGGAAAGCTCTATTTGTTCTGCATTATCTTTGTCTCCCTCCCCTTCTTCCTCCTGGCTATAGCTGGTGGGCTTGTCCTGTGAGTAAGTCAGGTTCCACTCACTTATCTGCACCCTAGTGGGGAGGTGAAGGTAGGGGATAAGCTCTGAGGTGGCACCCAGTCTTTGACTACCTGGGCTCTGCTCCCTCGCAGATTCAGACTGTGTTAAATGTACGAGTTCACTCCGTCCACCCAAGAATTCCCTGGGGCTTCAAGTCATTTCCGCAATTCAGTGAGTAGCCTGGATTGAGGAATTTTATTTTACTTTTCCCTTTCACTGTTCCCTCTGGAAGCCAGAAGTGGGGAGGGGAAGAAAGAATATCTGCATAGTTGCTTCCCTTCAGATTTGGGGTCTTAGGGAGAATTTTCAGAATTTTGTTTTCTTGCCAGTTCAGTTCCTTGAGAAAGGGGGTGGGTTAGGGCCTCTAGAATCTTTCTTTGGCCTCCAGTTGTTGCAGGTCATTCACATTAGGTTAAGTCTCTGTCCTTGCCCTTCTGCTCCTTGTAACATTTGGGGTGGGGTCTTGTTTCTGCCGCTTTTGCTTATTTCATTATGAGTTGGAAGAACATTCTGTCACTTACTTTCAATTAGCTATTTACCTTGGGAGTTTCTCCCAAACTGATCTTCTACCTCTCACCGACCCGACCCGTATGTGCTCCGGCCAAGCCCTTCAGCATCCTGCAGACACACATGCTCAGGCCCACCGCCCCACCTTTGTCCTGCTGTTAGCTCTGCCTGGAACACCCTTCCCTCTGCCTGTCCACATCACCTGCCCTTAGAGGCCCTGCTCCGGGTCACCGCCTCCACAAAGCCTTCCTCTCCGGCTTCTCCAGCCTCCCGTCTCTGAGCTTGTCTACAGCTCTCTCCAGCTATAACAGAAAGCTTAGCCTTTAATTATATGTTGTCTGCAGTGGTTTGCCATTGGCTCCCATAAATGAGTCTGGCCACTGAGTCAGGCCGGAGCAGGACCTCAGACTTGAGCCCCTGGCATCAGGCCTTTCCCCAGGAGCTTAGGGAGCCTGCTTTAACCTGGCCTGGGGCACCCCTCTGACTTCTTCCTGCCATAGGAAGTCAGAACAAACGGTACAGCCTGTGGTCAGTGCAGCCTTGCGGGCTGTGACTTTAGATGCCGGTCTTGACTGATCATTGTATCCCTGGAGACAAAGGGCTGGGCCACGCGGGTCACTCTGTGCTTAAGCCACCATCCGCTCCCTGCCCCCCGCCCCTAGCTGATGCTGTGGGCACCCCTTCTGACATGTGTCTCCTTCTCACACAGGCATCTTCATAACAACCGCATCCAGCATCTGGGGCCTCACAGCTTCGAGGGGCTGCACAATCTGGAGACCCTGTGAGTGCATGGAGGGGTGCTGCCTGCCGGGTGTTGAAAGCCGAGCCCCTGGGGGCAGGCGGGGTGGGTGGCTGGGCAGAGACCCCAGGACCGGGAGCGGAGGATCTGTTTCCCGCCTGCTCACCCACGTGCCCCTCCTGGCACTCTCTGTGGGGTGTCACCCCGCATGGCTCCTGTCTTCCTTCAGGTGGGTGGAATGTGCCTTCTGGGAGTTCAGGCTGGCCCCCGAGGGGGAACCTAGAATTCCTGTAGCAGAGACCAGTGGGAAATAAAGGGAAAGTTGGTAGAAATGGGAAGTGTAAGGAGAAGCTAGAATTAGGGTAGAGCCTGGGGACTGGAAGGCTTGGGGGTGGGGCTGGGGCTGACTTGATGGCAGTTTTGACATCTGTTTAAGGGTGGCTGCTGACAGAGGGAGAGTAATACCGTGGGGTGATGCTGGTACTGTCTGCCAATTGATCTAACAGCTAAATGATTAATAGGGAGATGGCCCATTCAGGGCTCCAGCCTGGCTATAAAAAGCACCCAAGCTGTTGACTCTTAAAAAGCCATATTATTCACACATCATCACCCTGGAATTCAGTTAAGGTCAGAATGCACCCAAGCCCTCCCATCATTTCCTCTGGAGTCCTGCCAGCCCCCACAGAGTGGGCTGAGAGGGCCCCACTTGAGCAAACAACTGGCTGGCTCTCTAAGGGTGCCGGCCATGCCAGCTGGGGTCCCTTGGCAGCCCTGAGCATGAGGGAGCCGGCTGCTGGGGCCACCTGGCACGGGCCACCTGGTGCAGGCCGCCCGCTGGAGCGAGAAGGGCCCCCAGCCCACCAAATGGGAGCCGCTGAGACTGAGCAAGGGCGCAGGGAGCCAGGGCCATGGGTTCCTGCTGCCCCATGCCCCACCGCCCCTCACCCCACCCCCTTCTCCATACCTCCCTCCGCCCGCCAGCACACAGCACACTGGAGCGTCACTCCTGAAGTAAGGGGTTTCGGAGAATCCGAAACAGCAGAGGAGAAAACCCGGAGAGACCAGCTGGGCCCTGAGCGTGTTGGGGAAAACCACTTGGCAAATCTACCAGGAGGCCTCTGCCTTCTGCACCTGTGGAGGGGAAGGAGCGGGGATGCCAGCGCCCCACAGCTCTTCCCCATGGGCAGGAGGGGGGCGCTTCCTGGGCACAGCCTGAAGCAGGAGAAATGGCAGAGCAGGGCTCACATCCTGTGTCCTCACTCTTCAGATGCCTAGGTGCCCAGAAGAGGGGTGCAGGGCATGTGCTCCAGTCAGGAGCAGGACCGTGGAAGCCTTTCCTGACCACTGTGTGTGATGTGGGCTTTGTGATTCCCGGTCCAGCTGCCGTAGATGGCTGGACAGTTAGTGTTGGACAGTTCAGCCTGCTCAATTAATGTTCTAGCAAGTTGATGTCAAGGGAAGCGGCCCACCCAGTGTGGCTCCCTTACTTAGGGCAGAGCATGTCTAGGGTGTGTTAACTGAGAAAACATACATGAATGTCCCTAGCTTGGTGCCCTGCCATCCTCAGTCACTTGGGTCACATGTGAATCCTGCAAGCCTCCCGTGAGTTAGCTGTGTGGGGAATCTGGACATAAGAGATGGTCATGACCCTCTTAAAGCCCACGCGCCTGCAGCTGTCCTCCCTCCGGGGATACAAGAGCTTGCAGGGAGGTGTTTGGGGCTGCTGGGCACTGGCACAGCAGGAGGGACAGTCCAGTGTGATCTGCCTGGGGGTGTGGGGGCTGCTAGTACTGCTGGGAAACCGAGTGGGGAGGGGGCATAGATACTGGGTGTGGGTTGGCACCTCTAAAAAGCCAACTAGCAACTATTTCTTCACCTTTGGGGCATGCTGCTGCCTAATTCTTTCTCAGTTATCACTGGATGGCTGTGCAGGGCATCTGGCTCAGCTGGCGCTGGCTTAATTACAGAACAATCCTGCCGCTAAGCACCCACTGTCCCTTTCATCTACCAGAGCACTTGGCTCTGTCACGCAAAGCCCATGGCCTCACTCACTTTACAGATGGGAAAGCTGAGGCTAAGATACTAGAAAAAGTTCCCCCACTGTACACTGTGGAGGCAGAACTCTGGTGGCAAAGCCTATAGCCCTTGGCGTCAGATGAATTGCCAGCTCTGCCAGCTGGGTGACCTTGGTCAGGCCATTTGCCTCTGCGAGTCTTAGTTTTCTAATCTGCAATATAATACCACTAATAACGCTGGGCGTACAGAGTTGGCATGTAGGTTAAATGAGATGATGTGTGTAAAGTTCTTGCATAGCCTGGCAAACCATGTCAGGAACTCGCCCTGCCCTCCCTTCTCCTCCCCCAGCCCCTTCTCTGAGGGCCTCAATCTCAACAGCACCCCTTTCTTCCCCACCCTTGAGGGATAAGTTCTTCCAACTTTTGATCTCCAATTAAAAAGGGGGAAAGTGTGTTCTTTATCCTCTATCCCCCAGAGCACTTGCTGGGGAGCCTGCAGAGGCAGCCAGATTTGGGGAGGAGGAGGATGGGCTGGGAGAATAAAAAGGGAAAGAAAGATACTCAAACCTTTTAATTGTTGCGTAATTGGCACGCTTTGCAGCGTCAGTTATTACTCTGGGGCTTTTCATGTGAGCTTCTCTCTGGAGGAGTATTTCTCCCTCGGGCTCTGTAAATCTCTGCCACTTAGACATCTCTCATCTCCGGCAGCAGACGGAAGATCAAACCCCCTGGCCCTAGCTGTGGTTTGGCTCACCTACAGGCTCCTCTTAGGAGGGAGGGTGGCACCCAGCCACTCCACCTGTGGAGGAGGGGCCAGCTGCAGGCAAGCACACGTGTGGTTGCACAGCTACCCGCACCGCACACAGCGAGCTCTGCATACAATCAGTGCACGCGCTGTGGGCTCAGGCCTCTCACACTCCTCACCCCACATAGATGCTTCTGCCCCACACCCAGTACAGCGGAGAGACCCCTGGCAGAGGCCCCCGTGGCAACATGGTCTCTGTGATGCCCTCTGCTTGGCAGACCAGGCTGCTTGGGTCCCCTCCCTGGGCCTACCTCTGCAAGCTGCTCAGCCAGAGCCAGTAGCCCCACCTTTGTGAGCCCTGCTTCCCTCATCTTCACAGTAGGCCACCTCAAAGGATAAGGAGCAAGCTAGATAAACTTGCACCATGCCCTCTTTTACTCCAAAGAGTCAGGCAGATGCCTGTGATCTGAGCAGGGTCCAGGGGCTGGGCGTTGCTGTGCCCTGTCTCCTGCTGAGCAGAACGAAGCATGAGGATCCACAGGCCCCAGGCACAAGCCTTGCTGAGCTGTGAGGAAGCCTGACCTCACAGGCAGAGGCTCTGGGGACGGTGCTCAGATTTCTCCTGATGTCCTCACCACCATTCCGGACCTTGTCAAGAAACCCCAGCTGGAGGCAGACAGGACCATCTCTGTCCTGCATCCCCACCTCCTTTCTGCTCCCTCAGTGAGGATGCCCCCCACCAATGCCCGGAAATTCAGGATCAGAGGTGGGGCAGTCCCCAGCCTATGAAGTACTGTTTCCTACAGTTTCCAGATCAGACCTATCCAAGATTTGGGGTGAGTTGCCCACGCTTCTATAGTTTCTAAGTGCTGATAAACTACTAGAGGCCAAACCTCTTCCCTTCTAATATATTACTCCATTTAGCATTAGCTCCTGTGAGGTCAGATCAATTACAGGACGTCCCAGGTATCTAGGTTGGAGCATGACCACAAACAATGCTGGGAAGGGTCTCCCAGGAGATCTTAGGGACCTGAAACCAGTCTCCTGTGCCTTTAGGAAATTTGCACTTGGAGGCCACAGGATGCTGTTCAGTGCTGTTAACTAATGATCCTCGAATCCCCAGCTATACTTACCAATAACATCGGTGCCAAAAAAAGAAAGAGAAAAAAAGGCCAAGCAAATGCAATTACAACCTGAGGGGCCCACGCTGACTCCCTAGATGTGGGAGTTTGATGTCTGCATCTTAGCCAGAACTCAGAGTGGGCAGGGCCCGCGCCAGATACCCTAGTATCAGCTTTTGCAGAACGTTTTTGCATCAACAGCAGTTGTGGCTGCAAAGTGTTTCTCTGTCTCCGTGTCCTTAAACCATGCAAGCCAACAGATTCTGCTCTAAACCAGCTCTGATTGGGTCCCAAAAGTATCCAGCCACCTCTCAGTCTTGGGCCAGGTAGTCAGCCTTTGGCCAGAGACAGAAAACCAGGCAGGTTGTGGCTGCAGGTCTTCTGGGCTTAGGGGTCTCCTGGAGTAGAACAAGCACCAGGCTTGAGTTAGCAGCCTGGATTCAGATCTGGGCTCTGCCGCCAGGGTGCGACATGCGCCAGTCGTCTGACCTCTCAAGAGCCTCGGTTTCCACAAATAGAAAGTGGGGGTGACAGTTTACAACTCATACAGTGATATTTGCAGTGCCTGGAGCACTGTAGGTGTCTGACTTTCATTGGCTTTCTCCTCCCTGCCCTCCCATTTACTGCTGACTGGACAGCAAGGAGCCTTCTCCTTCTCTTTCTCCTTGTTCTTCCTTCTCCGCCTCCTCCTCCTCTTGACAACAGTGTGTCTTAAGGTGCTAGCCAGGGTGCCGCCCGGAGGTGTCACTGCATAGTGATCTAGGGAGTGACTCATCTCCATAAGGTGGACCAGAATTTCCAGGTGGTCAGGGCATGGCTACTGCATGAGTTTTCTATGGCTGCTATAACGAATTACCACAAACTCTGTGACTTAAAAAAACACCATGAAGTTATTCTCCCATAGTTCTGGAACCAGAAGTCCAAAATCACAGTGTTGGCAGGGCGGGTTCCTTCTGGCAGGCTTGAGGCAGAGTCCATTCCTGGCCGCTCTCTGGTCTGTACCTTCTGGGAGCTGCCGGCAAGCCTTGGCAGTCCTCAGTGTACAGGTGCACCGCTCCAACCCCTGCCCCTGTCTTCACATGGCTTCTCCGCGTCGCCTTATAAAGACCCTGGTCGCTGGATCCCGGATGATTTCCTCTACAAGATCCTTAACTTAATTAC